AGTGTCCACCCATTTTTTCTTGTCTTGATTTTTGGTGCTTTGGGAAATTCGTAGCAAGTCCATTTCAATGATGAAATTTTAAAATGCATTATACTAATGTATGTTAGAGACAGAAATAGAGTAAATAGAAAGAGTGTGAGAGAGTGTATCTCACTCAAATATTCATCCTGGTTAATGCTGTTACTGAAATATGTTCTGCCGTCAGGCATTTTGATGGAAATTAGCTTCATGAATGGAATAATATATATGAATGGAATCCAGTAATACTTTAGATATTTTTGGTTAGCATCCATAGGTGCAGCTTTTCATGTACAAGCAAACCAATTTGTTTTCAGAGAGTGGATTTTCCAAAGCACTTTTTGAGAGTAGGAAATGGAACTGCTGATGGAAGAAAAATCATTTTTGTTCTGTCAGAGGAAATTGCTTTCATTGATGGAATATACAGTTGGATTCTAGATTAAATGTCCATTATTCAAGAAACATTTTGAATAAGCTTTCTTTAGTTTCACATTAATAATATACAGTATGCATGGACAACCAGTCTGGCATTTGCATTTATTGCTATTTCTTTTCCTAGGGTTTAGTTATGTGTCAGTGTGATGTCACTGTGTTTTCAGAAATTTGCTCAGATCATTCTCTGAAGACATTTCTAACTGAATTAAAAATAGCACCAAAGCACTGCACTGTTACAATTGCTTTGCCAAACAGGTGTGAGAGAAGGCAAATATTCCTGGAAGTAGATGGTTATTTTTCTGGGAAAATGTTCAGTCTTATTCTCAAATCATTTTTTTGTGCTGAAAACCAAGATTGCTAAATATTGAGTGCAACCCTAAAATTAACCTTGGAAAGTTTAAGTTCGGCACATTTGTTCTTGTTTTTTGGGATCAAAGTTAAAAGCAAACATCACATTATAAAGTTCAGTGAAATACTGTAACTAATAGGTACTTAAAAATGATTTATGATATAGCCTTGAAGTTTAAAACTTGTAACATCAAACAAAATATATCAAAGAAACTAAAAAAAGTCCCTCTGTGAGGGAGATGGGTGGTTCAAAAATGTGAAAAATAAATAAATAAAACATTAATTGGGCCTTTGGGAA